GGCCGCCGCCCGCCCCGCGCCTCCGTGACAACGCCGGCAGTCACAGTGACGACGTCGGCGGTCACAGTACCGCTGTGCATCCTGGGCGAGGTACAGCTGCGCTTCCTCTGTCCCGACGACCTGGAGGAAGTACGATCGCTCTGCCAAGATTGGTTCCCCATAGGTGAGCGTCTATCCTGGAAGCAGCATAACTCTTGCCTACAAAAGGAGAATAAGATGCAAGATTGGAAGATATTTTTGTAATATAATTTTAATTCTTTAACACTTTCTCTCTTTTGCTTTTTTGAAATCTACTTTTGATTAATAAAAATGTATATAATTTGAAAAAGACGAGAGAAAAGAAATGGGTCTTGACATCTCAGAAGAAAGAGAGCTTGACACAGAAATAACAAAAGTATTGCTTATATATACAGTCTCAAGTTTCAAAACAAAAATTTGTAAGAGAATCTTCAGACACTAATGTGCCTGTTTCTATCAGTATAGATTAATTTGAATCTTGACATGGTGTAATATAGTCAATCATTACATTCTTGTTTATTTACTAATGTTAAACAAAGATGAAATGATCATTGTTACACTATGTCTCTCACTGAAAAGCATCAAATATTTCATAAATTGTACAATTAATTTATTTAATCTAAGTTGTAATTTATTTGTAGTCTATCTGTTAATTGTAATTTATATGTAGCTACTAGAAATATTTTTTTTTTATTAAGTACCACGTTTTCTGTTTGTATTATATTCTAAAATAATTGCTATAAATAAATAATATAATAAAAAGTGTTTTTAACTTAGATAATAAAATAGAACTAACGATTAATTTCTACCTGCACAGATTATCCTTATTCATGGTATGAAGACATCACAAGTTCGTCAAGGTTTTATGCACTTGCAGCAGTGTACGGTGGAGTAATAATAGGGCTGATTGTCGCAGAAATAAAGCCTTATGCCAGATTGAACAAGGAGGATCGCGGCATCTTGTGCTCCAGTCTGGGAAAAAATTGTTTAGTGGGTTATATACTTAGTTTAGGAGTACGTCGCGCATATAGGAGAAATGGCATAGCGTCATTGCTACTGGAACAGTTACTCGCTCATGTCACCGCTCCAGAACGTTCCTCCGTAAAGGCAGTCTTCCTACACGTGCTCTCCAGCAACGCTCCCGCTATATTGTTTTATCAGAGGTGTCACTTTCGACTGCACAGTTTCCTTCCGTATTACTACTCGATCCGAGGAAAATGTAAGGACGGTTTTACATATGTTCTTTACATCAACGGCGGACACGCACCCTGGGGTATTTGGGACTGGGTTCGTCACTTGGCCGGTGCGATGACCAGTCTCATACCGTGCAGAGTACCACGATGGATTTGGCAACGTCTTTTATGGGCAACCACCATTCTTTCGTACCACAGATGATACATTTTGTGATTTATTATGTTCCATTACATATTTATTTTTCTCTTTTGGATTATAGAGATATTATACGCATGTAAAGTGCCATAAGTTGACCAGTTCAAGTAGTTAGCCATATTGCGTAGTCCTAATGCAAAGTTAGAAATGGACATTGATCAAAGATCGATTTATATAACATGAACAAATATTCAAATTCGTCTAAAGTTTGGGCAGCAAGGCTTCAGAGTATCTTGGCACAACTTTTGTTACCAAGGATTGCTAGTTATTAAGTACATATCGTTATTACAATACTGTTGTAATAGTTCGAGATGTAACTGCCAAAATTAATTAAGTTTAAATAATTTGCACACGTTAGGACTTAATATATCTTCCATCATTTTTAAAAATTATAATACTCTAAATTTAATTGTTAATTTTAATGAAGGCACAAACCTTGACATAATTAAGTATATTTGTTTATCTTTCGTTTGAAAATTGTGTACTCTAATTTTTTTTTTTTTTTTTTTCTACGAGGGTAGGGGGAAATCTTCAAAAGACCCCCTAGGGCCCGTACCCTAGAGGAGTGCCGGACTCGAGACATTTGCATCGCGATACTGCATATGTCTCGCCTAACGGCTAAAACCCCCTCCCTTTTTTTCCTTAAAAGATCCACTTGATGAGCATCTACCGAGTATCATTCTCATATTACTTTCGGGAGATGCTCATCTATAATTTTATCTATTTAAAACATCCCAAATTTCTATGATTTTTTTATTTCCAAATTTGTAGAGAAATTTGGAGATCGAAAATCATAGAGCAAATTATGATCTTTTAAGCAAAAATGATTTAAGACTGCATAATTACGATGTCATACTTTGTCCCTCTGCTGCCACATCGACTGTATAATATATGTATAAACTGTGTACATATTTTGTATATTAAATAAATACTTAATATATTAACATGGAACAATGAAAGTAAAATGAATTAATAATCCATCCTGATTACTAGAGTATTTTGAAACTTAGTAGAATCTAATAAAAGTCAAAACGAGTTTTAAGTTAAAACTTAAGCTGTTAGCAACGAAATATTTATATTTTAATATATTACAATAAATACAATAAAATAGACGTTTCGGCCTTATATCAGGCCATCTTCAGTATTACAAAATTAATGTAAGTTATAACAACGTCTTTTTTATTGTATTTATTGTAATATATTAAAATATAAATATTTCGCTGCTAATAACTTGCACTCGTGGTGTATGCCCTTTTAATCACATTGTTTTAGTTAGAATCTACTTGGAAAGCAACTTAACTAACTTATACTAGAAATACCAAACAATTATTACTTGATTCTGTTTATATTTTTTAGATTCATGCCGTATTTTTCTTTTTTGTAAAACAAAATTCTTTTTTTAGAAATTTTCTTTTTTGAGAAATTTTTTTGACTTCAATATCTTTTATAAACATTTGTTTTTTATAACTTTTTTTTATTTATTTATTCAGTCTTTTTTTTTTAGTAAGAAATATTAGTACTAAGATAATTTTACACATATGGTTATATGTTTTTATATATTTACATAATATATAAATATCTTGCATACATATTTACATATATTTGACATTTTTGTATTCACTTATCATACTTATCTTTAAAGGTGATCCTACATAGTCAATGATACTAAACAATAATATTGAATCAATAGCATTGACAGATGTATCAACATTTTTAGTTTTTTACAACCTTATACGATCAATATTATTAACAATATATTTCATTTTTGTTTTATGTACATTATCTATTGCTCTGTGACATGAAATTCTAATGAAGCGCTGATGCTTGAGAATCAGTATTCTTTGTTAATCTATCAACATTATAACTACATACGATCAGAAACATTGTTATTTTTGTCAATATTGACAGTATTATTGATGTATAGGGTCACCTTAATTCTAATTGGTATTCGCTCTGAAATTTTTTTAATTGTCCTTCGTGTATTTAGTATACCCGACAAAACTTTAAATTATTGTATCTTTCAATTGGTTTTAAAATCTAAGGAAAAAGATTATGTAACTTTTATGTAAAGTTGTGAAAAATATTTGTTATAAATAATGTTTCACAACGTTCGGTATGTAAATGAAAAAACCGTCTGGGTCCACTAGATTCGCGAATTAGGAATAATTTTTGTACTGAAAGTGATTATTCCAACACATCTAAAAAATTAAGATTTTTATTGAAAATAGTACGCGAATGTGAAAGCAAATATAATTAAAAAAGTTTTTTAATAAAAATTATTATCTTATTTTTTTAGATGTATTAGAATAATCACTTTCAGTACAAAAATTATTCCTAATTCGCGAATCTAATGGACCCAGACGGTTTTTTCATACCGAACGTTGTGAAACATTATTTATAACAAATATTTTTCACAACTTTACATAAGAAAAGCTATCATAGTAGAAACGGTGAATATGATTTAAACCTGATACGATGCATACGTTGGTTTTAAAAAAAGTTTGATTATCACGTCGACTGCATAATATATAGTGAAGATGAATAAATATATAATACGCGTGTACATCGAGAAATATTTTACCTTCCATTTGGAATATATATATATGAATTATATATTCCAAACGATATATCAAATGATAATTCAATCTTTGCATTTTATACCTATTTGCCCTCTTCTTACATCATTATCATATTTACAAATAGGTGAACATATGAAATCGTCGAGAATACTTTTCATGTTTTACGGTTTTGGTATGTAAGATCTTATTCTAGTCTTGTTTGATGTGTAACGCATTAAATATATCTTCTATTCCATCAATATCGGATTTTATTTTTTCTTAACATTTAAAACTCACTTAGGTTTAATCGATTGTATCGTAAATCGTAAGCAATGCAATAATATGATCATGAATAATGTAATGAATAAAAAACTGATCAGTTTCATTCTATGTATGCAAAAAAAGAAATAATGATTTTATAATAAATCTCATAGCGAATTCGATTGGGCGCACCAGTGTGCATTGGTGCATATTCTAAGAAGAATATATATTTTATAATTCAAAATATATTTGCATTTCATTATTATATTAAAATTAAATCAGTGTGCAATGGCGTACACTGACTTTAATATGTACCAATGCACACTGGTGCGCCCAATCAAATTCGCTATGAGATTTATTTTAAATTCATTATTTCTTTTTTTATCTTAAAATATAACACCGTTTCTACTAGGATAGCTTTTCCGTCCTATAAAAGTTAACATAATAGTAAAAGTTAATGGCTATGTTTGCACTGAGAGATCGGTTATGTGATTGAAATAGTACCTCTTGATGTATTAGAAGAAGACGTGGAGTTTTTAAGATATCTGAGAGATTCCAACGAAACTTTAGGAAAAAAACAGATAATAAATTTGTTAAAAATTGCTGCATTTTGTGTTGGATCTAAGATCAGATCATCTCTCAAGTGTTTACAGCAAGGGACTTAAATAATTTAGGTCGAATTTGGAATATAGACCGTAGCTTAATTTCACGGTGTAAACATAGCCATTAACTTAATTACGATTTGAAGGCATTTGTTCGTCTCATTCTATGTATACATATATTTTTTTCGACGCATATGTCATGTACAAATCTCTATAAACGTCGTTAAAAAATGAATTTTTCCTAATATTTCGTTCTTAAAATCGATTTGTATGTACAAACTATATACATGCAAATGTAATTTTACAATATGTACAGTAGATACATATGCGTTTGTATTACAAGTTAAGTACTTCTGGGAAGTAATGTTTGATTTATCATTTGAACTAAGGTATTCATATTCAAAGTATCGTTTGTATCATGCGGCCAACTCCAAACAACTCGTTCCTTAAATGCTTGGTCGAAACTTGCTACAGCATCAGATGGTCTATTGTTCAATTTGTTTCGAACTTCATATTCCGATTGTCTAGTTAATGCATTAAAAACATAAAATTCATTAGCCTTTTGGCTAAGGTGACGTGCCCATGGTTTAACAATACTTCGTATGAATATCACGCTGTTAAATGCCGAATAAACGGGTTCTTGCACGGGTTCCTGCAAATTCATTTCACCATATTCTGTTGTATTAACCGTCATGTCGCGTTCCAATGGATTCTTCGTGAGTTCGAAAGCGATGTTCGATGATAACTTTACGCGCTGATCTGTTATTCGTAATCTTCTATATATATCTGGTGTCAGTAGGAATCTTTCTTTAGCACGAATGCAAGTGTAATCATTCGGAGCCGGCTTCCATAGTGCGTCGCAAAATTTCCTCGTGAGATTGGATCTGAAATATCAAATATGACACATCAAAATATTAGTTGTAAGTAATACAATAATTAATTAAATGTTATTCTGTTAAACTTGTATTCATGTATTTAAATTTAAATCGATGATATTTATATTTTGAATACATATTTATATTTGAACACATACTTGCTTTAACATTAAATTAAAATTAACATGTTAATTTTTTAATTTGATTTATGTTCATTAATTTGCATATTTTTAATTTATGTAATTTTAATTAAGAATATGCAATTTTAATTAAGAATATGCAATTTTATTTTAATTAAGAATATAATTAAGAATATTCGAGCTATTATAAATATCAATATTTTACATTATGGTATCAACATTTTATAATTTTGTTGACGAAACAAAAGAAAAAAACTTACCGATGGGATAAATACAGCTTGCTTACATCCTCTCCACCAAGCATGTATGCATCTATAATATGTAGTGCTCTTGTCTTTGCAAAATACGTTCCTGTCCATTTTGTTTCGTTTACTAGTTCAGCATATACAAGAGTATTGGACGGTAGCTCGATTTTTATTCCTTTGTCTGCTGCAGTCCTCCATTTGCCTTTTACATACCGGTACACCTGTTTTCTTCCTAAGCTCAAGTAAAACGTCGCCAACTTATCTTCCTCGAGATACGGGCCCGAACAACACGGCATACAATACCAATCATATGGTTGATTTAATATCGTATTCCGTACGTTGTCATTCTTTAATTTAGTCACTTCACATTTGAGCAACCCAATGGAGTTACCTAATATTTCCTGCACTTTGTCTTGCGGTTTTGATATTTGAGGCCTTACTCTAGTTTTGTCCGGCAAATTCCAATACTTGAGGCATTCTTTCCGCATCTCAGCTTGCTTAGATTCAATCAATGTTGAATCTTCACAAAATGCAGCAATTTTTAATAGATTTACGATCTGTTTTCTTCCTAAAATTTCATTGGAATCTCTGAGATATTTTAAAAATTCCGTGTCTTCTTCTAATACGTTAAAAGGTACTATTTCTATTACATCACTATTGCTATCGTCTCTTCTCGAAAGCAAGCAATTAATTTGAGATAGATAATTCATCACCATTTGCGTATCCTTTTTCTTCCTTTTACATATCAAGTAACGTTCTGAATTAGCTGGTCTGGAAGTATTAGGCTTGAAAATTGAAATACTTTCAAAGCAATGATACATCAGATAAACAAGCCCAACGCTAAATGATGTAAATAAATCGAACAGTTTTGTAACAAAATGTCCACCTGGTCTCACTATCATCAACGCCACTAAGCATTGACATAGATATAATTGCTTCGATAAAATCTCCTGTATATTTTCTTGACCTTCCACTGAAAATCCTCCATCTGACATCATGAAATGTACGCCTTTACCATCAGTATGTCCCATCACTATCGATCTAAACTCCCTTTGATTTTGCGTGTCAAATACATCTCCATTGCCTTTGCTGCCATAAAACGGATGGAAAGTTTCACATGGTCCAGCAAAGAAGTCATCCAATGAAAAATCATTTTCGTTCTTCAAAGTGAATCCAAATCCTTTGGCGTGCCACTTCTTTTTTGATAAAATGTATTCGCTGAAACCACCTGGACCAGCACACACATCTGCGAAGTA